CACACACACAGAAAGACGCACCCCCACACACCTGCTGGCCCACCAAAATCAAGCCTTTGAACCTGGACGGGGCCTGGCGCCAGCCCAGCCCCCACCTACACCCTCTGTCCCAGGAGTCCAGAGCATTGTGGGGGGGATGGCGGCCGAGGTAGCCAGGTTGGCCCCGGGCGGGATCCTCCTGCCTCAGCCTCTGTAGTGCTGAGATTGCCAGCACGCGCCACCACGCCCAGCCCGGAGCCCTGGGCTCTGGGAGGTGCGACCCGAGTGAGCTGGCACCAGGGACCTGGCTGTGCTGTCCGGGAAGCAACCGGAGCGGCGGGGCCTTGGGGAAGCGCCAGCTGCCGCTCGCTCACCGTCCCCATTCCCTCATCCCAGCTTTGGAAACGCTTTTATCCCGAGCGCTTTTCTTTAATTAAACTTCATTTAGCTGCCATCTGTCCTCATTCAAAACAGCTCCGTGTTTTGCAACTCTAAATGAGAATTGTTACTGGGTTTGTAAACACGCCCCCCCCCCGAAAAAAATCACAAAACACTTTGAAAAGTAATAAACGAGGGGTGTGCGGAGCTGCGTCGCAAACGGCCTAATTGCCGGGTGGATTCTGCCTCGTGCGACGCAATCATTTTATATACAGAGTCTTTGTACAAAAATCTGCTATCAACGAAAAGATCAAGATGATAGGAAATGCCGGGATTATGTACGAACGAAAACAGTAATAAAGCAATCATCAGCGCGGGCCCAGAACGAGGCTGCGGGGGAGGGGCTAGCGCCTGCGCCTGCGCCCTGGGCCACCTTCCCTCCCCTCCAGGTTGCGGGGAGGAGGCTGAGCTGCGACCTCCCACACCCCCACAACTCCACGTACTGCAGTCGCAGCCCCGGCCCACACACTGAGCCACATCCCCAGCCCTTTTCAACTCCTTATTTTGAGACAAGATCTTGCTAAATTCTGATCTTCCTGCCTCAGCCTCCCAGTCTGGGATTACAAGTGTGTGCTGCCACACCCAACCTGTTGGGGGCAGTGCTGGGGACAAACCCAGGGTCTCCTGAAGGGTTATGCCACAGAGTTACACACCCAGTCA